GCTCCCTCCCTGCTTGGGGGTCACCAGGATCCCTGGAACTCTTGCATGTCTTAACTGTAGTTTGCCTTCTTATATCTGGGTCACGTCCTGCTCACCAGCTTGACTTCAGGGCTGTCTACACAGCTTCTTTGTCTCCTACTGGGAATTCTGCAAAGTTGCCTTCCGGTGGTCCTCACCTGGGGCCACTGCTCATTTTGTCTCAAGATGGCCACACCATGTCAGGCCAGCAGGCAGGATTCCTTTGATCCATAACTCTTCTTATTTACGGTTTTTGTTTAGTTTATCCTTCTAATCAGCTTTGCATCTGATTTTCCATCCTTCCTTTTGACGCTGGGGGTTCCAGGATTGTCACTTGTTTTCTCAGGTCTTTGCTGTTGAGGGACAGAATGGGGTGTCTAAGCTGACATCGTGGGTTGACTTCCTGTAGCTTCCTTTGGCATAACTTTCATACTATGAAACATTTCTGGTACATAGGAAAGTACAGGTAATGTTCACTGTAACTTTACAAAGTTCACTTCCCAAAAAGAAAATCACTAGTTTGTGACAACAAATGTCTAAATGAATGAAACTTGGCACAAAATAACTTTCAAATTAAAACAAACAAAAAGCCTTTCAAATCCTTTAACAATTAAAATGTTTAAAAACAAAACCTTTTTTTTTTTTAACAGATTAGGAAAGAGGATGCTTGAGAAACTGAAAGAATTTACACCTTTTCATTATCTAATTACTTGTCAGCTCTTTAACTTAGACATGCGTGGGAGCAGGAGGGAATTACTTTAAAAATAGCTTTAAGTTTATAAACACCAACTGATGGTTTAGAACAGGGGTCCTCAAACTACAGCCCACGGACCACATGCCGCCCGCAGAGGACATTTATCCGGCCCGCCGGGTGTTTTTGCCCGTTTTGTTTTTTTACTTCAAAAGAAGGTATGTGTGGTGGGGTCAGTGCACTGGGAGCTGTCGGAGTGTGAGAGCAGGACGGGAACCTGGTGGCACTCTGTCTTTCTGCAGCTTCTCCAGGGGCGAGGTTTTCCAGCATCACTTTGAACCCGCTGTCTTCGTGTGTGCCAAGTGCGGCTACGAGCTGTTCTCCAGCCGCTCCAAGTACGAGCACTCTTCGCGTGGCCAGCCTTCACGGAGACCATCCACGATGACAGCGTGGCCAAGCAGCCCGAGCGCAATCAGCCTGATGCCTTTCAGGTGTCCTGTGGTAAATGCTCATGGGCTTGGCCACGAGTTCCTCAATGATGGCCCCAAGCAGGAGCAGTCCTCTTATGAATATTCAACAGCTCCCTGAAGTTCATCCCTAAAGGCAACAAATCTGCCTCGCGGGGGAAGTAAGCGGGCAGCCCAACCCCAAGCAGCCACAGGCATTGGTCACCCCTCTTTAGAACTACAGCCTACTGACCTTCAGGCAGGGAGGGCTGGATGGGGATGGTGGG